ACATTATCCTAATACAAATGACAAATACAGTATACAAAAAGAAACTACAAATAGATATCTTTTAAGAGCATATATACAATACTCATAACAAAATATTTGCAAATCAAATCCAGCAATATATAAAGACAGTACAATATGACCAGGTAGAGTTCAATGGAGGAAGGCAAGACTGATCCTACATTAAAAAATAAAAAAGAAAGAAAGAAAGAAAGAAAATCAAAGGGCTCAGCAGATTAAAGCACCTGCAAGCAGGCACAGGGACAGAGGTTTGATCCCTAGGCCTGCCGTGCTGGCCCTGTCCCCAGGGTGTGCTGAGACAGCAATTAAGACTGGGTGTGGTCGCGCACGCCTATAATTCCAGCTCTTGGGAGGTTGTAAACAGGCAGATCACTATGAGTCCAATCTAGTAGTGAGATCCTGAACAACCTGCAGACCCTGCCCTAAAAAATACAACAATAACAAAAGAAAAGGAAATCAAAAGAAAGCTGGGTGTGGCTACACATGCCTGCAACCCCCTGCTTAGGAGGTTGGAGCAGGGGACTGCCTTCAATTCCAGGCCTGCATGGGCTATATAGTGAGTTCAAGGCCAGTCTCAAATATATAGTGAGACCCTGTCTCAGCCTCTTTAATGCTGGGATTTCAGGTGTGTGCCACTATGCCTGGCTCACTCTTGCTATTCTACTCATGGTACAACTCGTCTTAGTCAGAAAAACTGGAAAAGAAAAAGAGAGAAAGTATTGAAATTAGAAAAGATGAAGTGACATTTCTGTTTGAGCTGACATGAATTTTACAAATAGGAAATTCTAAACAGTCCTCCAAAAATCAGCTAAAATAAACAAAATCTGAAAAGCTGCAGAATACAAAATTGATATATAAAAGTCAATTAAGTTTCTATACACCAAAAGCATACCATGCAAAAAAGAAATTAAAATAAAATCTCATTTACAATAGGATCAGAAAGAAGATAAGATTTAGAGATAAATTTGACCAAAGAGATAAAAGTTCTGATCACTGAAAACTGTGAAGCATTGATGGTAGGAACTGAAGAGGACACAAATGAAAGGAAGGACATGCCCTGTTTATGGGCTGAAGCATCAACATGTTCATACCACACAATGCTATTCTCAGATTTAATGCAATCCCCATCAAAATTCCCATGGCATTTTCCACAGAAAGAAAATAATACTAAAATGTACATAAACTAAAAAGACCCTAAGTAACTAACACAGTCTTAAATAAGAAGAACAAAGCTGGACGCATCGTATTTCCTCATTTCAATTTTGTGATTAGAAACCTTTAGTAATCAAAACAGTATGGTGCCAGCATAAAAGATGAATAGACCAGTGGAATGAAATACAAGCCAGTGAAATAAACTCAATCATATCAGGCAATTAATCAAGAAAGAGGCTGGGTATGGAGGCAAATGCCTCTAATCCTAGCACTCAAGAGGCCCAGGCAGGAAGATCATGAGTCAAAGGCTCACCTTGGCTATAAAGCAAGTTCAAGACTAGTCTAGGCTATACAGGGAGACCCTGTCTCAAAATCAGACTGGACCAGACCAGGCTGGACCAAACCAGAGCAGACCAGATCAGACAAAACCATACCAGACCAAAATATCAAGTTTATACAATGGGGAAAAGATCTTTTCAATAAATGGTGCTGGGAAAACTGGATATTAACATGCAAAAATATTAAAGTTTTATTCTTCTCTTATACTGTTCATTAAAATAAAATCAACTGAAAATGGATTAAAGACTAACTGTAAGACTTCAGATGCTAAAATTCTAGAAGAAACAGGATGAAAGCTCCACAACTCCATAACATTGTTTTTGGCAATGATGTTTTGGATAGAGCACCAAACTCCCAGGCAACAAAAACAAAAATAAGTGAAAATAGCATAGAGATTCAACAAAATATTAGAAACAGAACTACTGTGTAATCCAGCAATCGGATGTCTTGGTATATATTCAAAGGAAATAAAATCACTATCTTGAAAAGTATCTGCACTCCATATTGATTGCAGCATTATTCACAACATCCAAGATATGGAAGCAACCAAAGTGTCTGTTGGTGGATGAATCAGGAAATGGTTAAGAAAACCTGGTACACACACACACACACACACACACACACACACACACACACAGAGAGAGAGAGAGAGAGAGAGAGAGAGAGAGAGAGAGAGAGAGAGAAGGAAATCCTTTCACTTGCAAAAACATGAATAAATCTATGATCTCTCTCATATATGGAATGTAAAAGTCAAACTCATAGAAAAAGAATAGAAAGGTGGTTACCAAGGGCTGAGGGTGGGAGAAAGGGGGAGACATTAGTCTTTACTTTCAGTTATAAGATGCATAAGTCCTGGTGACCAAATGAACAGTGGGAGGGTGACTATGTCATGTATTATAATAGTAATATATTATGGATTATATAGTAATGTGTTATATAACTAGGTGTGGTACTACATGGCTGTAATCCTGTCACTTAGGAGGTTGAGGCAGGAAGATTGCTGGGAGAGTTTGCCAGACATTTTAGTGCTGGCAAAGGGATAGACATAAAGATAAACAGAATGAAGCAGACAGCCCAGAAATAGTATTCTAGATAAGATAGATAGATAGATAGATAGATAGATAGATAGATAGATAGATAGATAGACAGACAGACAGACAGACAGACAGACAGACAGACAGACAGATAGATATCTCTCCTTTTAAGATGTGGAACTTAATTTTCCCTTCTTCCTACCTTGAAAATACATTGGACTTACTGAACAGTTCCCAAAGGACAGAGTATGCAAAGGGAAAACAACTGTACAGTGGAAAAATGTGTCAAGCTGTCAAGGTTAACATCACCAGAGATCAGTCATTGTGATGTCACACGTCCCCTGCTAAGATATGATTTGGATGGCAGTTCACCTTGCTGTCGTGCTTTCATAAAAGCCACACCATCTTAGAATAACTATGAGAAAAAGAGACAAACAGAAATCAAGGGACATTCTAAAGAGTACTTGACCAGTAATCCTCAAAATTGTCAAAATTTTTGGGGAAAAAAAAGCCGTCACAAATAAGGAAAGAATAAGAAACTGTCACAGATAGGAAAACACTGAGGAGATACGATAGCTACATGGACTATAGCTTATGAATTAGATCTTTTTTTTTTGTATTTTACTGAAGGGATCAAACCCCTGGCCCCTGTGCCTGCTGCATGCAGCCGCTTTAATCTGCTGAGCTATTTGCTATCCCTGGATTGGATCTTGAAAATTAATGGGAAAACTGGTAAAATCCAAATAATGACTCCAGAAAACTACAGTGAATTAATGTTGATTTTTTAAGTTTTAAACATTTGGGTTAATAGTAGATGGTAAGATTAGGAGAGGCAAATATAGTGAAGGGTATATGGAAATTCTCTATATTATGGCCTTTACAATTTTTCTGTAAATCTAAATTTTTACAAAATAAATTTTACTTTTTAAAAAAGTGACATTCTACTTATAAATTAAAATGCCTTGACAAAATCTGAATATGAATCTGAATGACTCATGACTCGTAAATTTTAAAAGCTTAAAAACTATATAATCACATAGATGTAATTAACAACTTATTCAACAAAAGATGCATGGATCAGAAGTTGAGATGCTAAGGTATTCAGAGTAGTTAAATCTTTTTTTTTTTTTGGCAGAACTGGGGATTGAACTTAGGCCCTTGTGCTTGCCAGGGAAGCACTTATTCCACTGAACCATCTCCCCGGCAAGAGTAGTTAAATCTTAATGCTGAGCTCTGAGATTGCTTTCTTCTTTGTATTTCTCAAATTTTGCATAAGAACAGATATGAGAAGGAAAATATATGTTTAAAAAATCTCATTGCTTTACAGCAGTATGACCTGAAATTGTTCTGTGACACGTTACTGGGTGCTCCATAGTCGGATATGTTCACACTGGGCACACTGTCTCTTTTTTGTACACTCATAATATCTGCTAGGATGTTAAAGGGTCTGAGAAGTCAACTAACAAACTTGAAACTTTATCTTAACCTGCATTTTCAAATTTTTTTTTAATTACAGAACTTATACTTCCTCAAAACAGCTCTCGGGAACCACAAGGATTACCTAAACATATGTTAGAAAACTGCTACTAAAGAACTCTCACCAGTTTGTTTTTGTTTTCTTGAGATAGGGCCTATGTAGTTCAGGCTAGCCTAGAACTCACCATGTAATGAGGATGTCTTCTAATTCACAGCAATCCTCTTGCCTTAGCCTCCCAAATGCCCTGATTATAAGTGTGTACCACCACACTGGCTTCCCCCACCACAGGTTTTAAGGGAAGAAACAAGCCTTTTTAGAGATTTGTTAATTTATCTTGGAAAAGCAAGAAAAGGTCTCTGATTTCTCCAAAATCTTCGTGGATCTGTCTTCCAGGACTTCTTGATCTCTTATGTTCAGCGCTGCACATGATAGCAAATACTCCATGGTCTCTGCTAGGTATGTATTTTAAGGCCTCATCTTCCCAGCTAGAATGGGGGAAAAACTAAAAGAGTTTTGTCTCTTGTTTTTTCTGTGCATTCTTGTCCATTGTTTGCTCATTCACTGTTAGACGCATGCTGCTGAGTGCCTGCTGGACTCCGGGCATACTGCTAGCCAGCGCCACAGTGAGCAGCACCAGACTGCTCCCTCTCCTTTCATGGAGATGAAGAGATGAGCGAAAACAGCTGCAAAGCAGACACATCAGCCCAGCACTAGCAGGGCACTGAAGGGAAGCTGACAGAGGAGAGCGACTGAGCCTAACTTTAGGGAGGGGCTGTGGGCAGAGCAGAAAAGGCTAGGCCAAAGAAACCATGTTTGAGCTGAGATCTGAAGAATGCTGATTTTCACTAAATATGATGGAGGAAGGAGGTGGAGATGAGAGAAGATTATTCCAGACACAAGTGCTAGGACAGTGCAGACAATGGTATCCGATCACATAAAATAGGCTTCACAGGCAGGTGACTGACCAAAACATCACTAACCATTTTCTTCAGTCTCCTTTCCTCCCGTTTTTTCTCAAGCTGAGCCTCCTTTGCTTCTTCCTCTCTCTTCTGCTGCTCTTCTTCTTGAGCCTTTAACAGGGCCTAGTTGAGATGAGAATGGAGAAAAATCAGAGACCTCAATCTTCATGCTATAAGATCTTGTGCACTAAGGCAAGTTGAGACTCTACCAGAGTGCTTGTCCTGTGCTTGCAATAAGTCTGCACTTTGTGAAGTACAAAAGCTAACTAACATGTTTTCAGGTGCCTAACTTAAGTTTCTCCAGCTGGGTGTGGTGGTGCATATCTGTAGTGCCAGCACATGGGAACCAAAGGCAGGAGGACTGCCATGAGCTCAAGGCCAGCCTGGGCTCTGTAGTCAGTTCAGGACTACAGAGCAAGACCCCATCTCAAACACAAAACGGTTTCTCCAAAAACCTGAACACAAATATCTGAACACATTACTTTTTCATCATAAAATGATCATATTTCAGTTTTTCCTTGTACCTATGAAATACTAAGCCAGTGTAGAGAAAATTGCTTTCCTTTAATTTCACCAACTCTTCACCTCACACTGCTAGCACTGTTAATTTTTTTCTGGTAGGTGCAAAATTTCCTTCTGAAAGTTTACGGTCAAAATTTAAGTTAACTGTCTTCTCTTGTAAACCCATTAAATCACATATTTATCTATACAATCTGCTAACTTGATTACGTGTGAATCTTCCGATTTTTCAGGCTGTATTAACTTCTCTATTATTTCCTCCCTTCTCTACTAATAATGTTGATTCCTCCTGTCCCTGATTTTTCTGAAACTGTCATACAATTTCAGGGTACAGGCCATAGCCCATATATTTCCAAAGTTGGTCTAACTCAACAGGCTCAAACAAGCAAGATTTCAGTTTTTAAAAAGAAAAATCTAGACAAATCTTTTTCTTGCCTCAGTTTGCATTCTGAATTTATTACCAATTTCTCCTCTTCTTGTTGTTTCTTCTTTTCTGCCAAGATCCGCCTACGTTCAGCTCGGTGAATTGCTCTCTCTTCCATGGCTAAAAAATAGTAACAGAGTTTCAATGTAAGATATACGCAGAAATGTCTTTATCTCACTGCAGAATGTAGGGTTATTGTCAGAGGACTTTCTTGTAAATTAAGTTTTCAAAAAGAAGATAAAGGTTAAAGACCTACAATCTCATCTGTAGCAATGGTGAATAATTTGTAGATTGCTTTTGTTTGTATTTTTTATTAGAACTCTTTACTAGTTTAAATAAGATAATATAGCTGGATGACATCCTTATTATATAAAACTCAGAAATAAAAATTTTAATTATACCATCCACGAATACAGAAAACTTTGACTACATCTAACAAATACTTTGGAAATCGAATCATTCCTTACATTCCCTTTTACATGAGCCTGCTAATTTGTCTTAAGTGACTGTCATATGTCTGTCTATCCAACTACAACAAACAAACTAAAGTTTGGGGTCACGATGAATACATTTTAATCTAGTTTTAAGACCTAGATATCCAGATGGGCAGGAAATGGAATTGTACCAGGCATTTGAAGAACTGGCATCAGAATGAATTTGAGTGTCAGACTCCTGTTCTTGACAGTCTATTAAATATCGATCCAAAAGAAACAAATGTGCAAGATGGTCTGATAATATGACTCTGTAATCAGGCAGGGCTTTCACAAGAAGGGGGGGCATGGGCAGGAGGAGGACTGAGTTCTGCTCACCTAAGCCAACCAACAGTTACTTTCAGTTCCTTGGGCCGTGGTACAGAGAATTTAAGTCCAAGTTTTAAGAATTAATGAACAAAAACTTATCAAGCTATTTCTCACAGATACTAAGTGTCTGTTTTACTACATAGAACAGTGGTGGTACCACAGATGGCAGAGCGAGACTGTCCTTAAGCAGCAGAAATAGACTAGAGGATTAAAGCGAGAGCCCTAAAAGCAGAGTCTCTGGTAATATGCCTTTTCTTCATCTTTTCCAGATCGAATCATTAAAGACTACTTGAAAAGTAGACTGGGATTCAAAAATAACTAACTCCTTCCCCAAACAATAATTTTTAAAAATGTATTGCAGGGAACTGGCTATTTCCGGATCAGCTGCAGTGGTGGGCAATGGCAGCGCAAGCTTCTGTCCTGAGAGACAATCGGTGCAAACTGCCAATTTCTTCCTTAATAGGAACTGGCTAGAGGCACAGTGTCCTTCAGATGACGCACCTTCTTGTTAGGGCAGCAATCTTTCCACAGGATATCAAATTTACAAGCCACAGTGTAATTGCCAAAGTGCTGACCACCTTACAAGCAGGTACAATGACTAAGTAGATGATAAAAGCAATTAGCAGCTTCACTATGTGCTTTTTGAGGAACGCTGTTTTCCTCAGAGCATTGCTTAGGCTTAAAGTAAGAGTTTCGATGTGTATCAAAACGTTATTGAACTAAGATAGCTGGCTTATATATTTCATTATTAAAGTCTCATAAAGTCACAGCAACATAAAATGACATAATGAATTGGCCTGCTATAAACTGATCATTTTTTTAGCATTAACAAAGTACAATAAGATCAGTGTGTAGTATTAGTACCTATTTGCAGTTTTCTTATTTGTGTAATTTTCCCAATTCAAATACCACATTACAGTAAAAGGAAACAACTTTTTGCAATTTGTGAGTGTGTGTGTTTGTTAGCTAGGAAGGCCAGAAAGGTTGGCAAAAGAGGCAGGGAAAAAAGGAGGTGTGCATTCTGTGCTGCTCACTCTACCCAAGTCTCAACACCCAGGAGTGGCAAGGACTCAGTCCCAGTCATACTCCACTCTCGGAGAGAAGACAAACACCACCAAGGTGCCCTGCCTTTCAGTATGGGATGTGGTGCCATCAGCAGCTTTGGCTTCATTCTGGGTCCAGAAAGAGAATTTTGGGAGTTGCTTCTACTGTCTCTGGTCCTAAGAGAAGTAACAGATGAACTAGGAGAGAAAAAAGGGAAAAAATGAGACCAATAATCACTTTCTTTCAAAGCTTTTTTATTAATTTTCAATTAATCCTTCCTTCTGAGATGACTATGTATTATTATACTCAGCCTACAGACTAGTGTAATGAGGTTTGGAAAGGCTGAACAATTGGCTTTGAGTCTATAATAAGAGTTGGGGATTCTGACTCCTAGTGCTTTAAACCAATAGGTAGCCTAAGTTCTTATTCTATGCTTTATCACAGGGAGTGTGTCTCAGGTACATCTAAAACCATTTAAAATGATTTTTTTACAAATCTGGACTTTTTAATTCCAGGATCAAAGATGTTTAGTTTGATCAGAAACAGCCAATATTAAAGCCAGATAATTAGCTAGATAACTGGGGACTGCTCCAGGAGCACTTCATGTCATCAGCCCCAGCTTCTTAGCATTACACATGATCAGAAACCCCAAAGCCTATATGAATCAAGTACCTTTCTCTCCTACTGTATAGCTACAAAGCTCTTCAGACATAGGGAACCATGACCTAAGTGCTAACTGTATAATTAAATCCTTAGAGCGGCCACTTGCTATAAGTACTATTTATAACTGTCACGTACAAGTCACAATATATGAGACTTCATTGCTTTAAAAGTGCACAATAAAAGAAAAGCAAAGATCATGGAGTTTAAAAGCAGGGCACAGAGGTTCAGAAGCCTCTCTATCTTAAAGTGAAAACCTTGGTAACAACCAGGCATAGTGGTGTGTGCCTATAATCCCAGTACAGAAGGATCCTGGGGCAGGCAGATCACAAGTTTGAGCCCCACCTAGGCAATTCAGTAAGACTCTTTCTCAAAAAAAATTTTTTAAAGGTCTGGCAATGTTTCAATCCCTAGTACGACAGAAATAAACAAAGACCTCTACGTCAACTCCAAAGAACATTCTGATGTGACAGACATACTTCAGAAGCATCTGGGAGGTGCCTTTTAGTTCCTCTGCCCCACTGGGACTTGTCCAAAGGCGCTTCCGCGCTTCTCTGAGTGCTGCAGCACGCTCAGCTGCCCACCGAGCCTCTGTGAGCCGCTGGTGTTCCTTCAGCTCAAGAATGGTTTTCTGTTGTTCCTGAAGTTTCTTCTTCTGCTTCTCAATCAGCTGTTGTTGAAAAACATGGCGGTGGTGCAAATGCCCCATGTAAACAGGTTCTGCTTTCTGGCTAGCAGTTCCCAGCTGCTTGTCGCTGCCAGACCGTTGAATGAGCTCAGCATTTAGGGCCTGCTGCTGCCCACTGTCAGGTGTGTTCTGAGGGACATTCTGAAGAGGACCCTGCAAATTACCGTTTGCGGTTCTTCTCAGGGGAGCTCTGAACATACAACCACCACTCTTCAAGGGCTTTTGTTCCCCCAAAGAGGGCATGACAGTCTCCTGAAAGAGAAGGGACATGCTACAGCACAATGATGTAAAGGACTAGGCCATTGAGATCATCAGCACTCATCTCTCAGCACTGCTTTGTTCAATGACATCACTACAGTGAACCCCAACTATCATTGCTCTACGCTTTGGTTCTGGTTGTCCCAGAGGCCACCAGTCTTGCTCTGTGAGCTGCTCATCAAATGTGCACTGCTGCTCACCACGAGAAGTGGGTGCCTACAGCTGTGGGAACCACTGTCATGGGCCAAGACATTTGTAACAGGAAAAATTCTCTCTCTTTCATCTGGATAGATTATTTTTGGGTTAGGCAGATTATTCCAGATATGTATTATGAAGATTTTAATATGTTAAAAATTGACTCAGAATTTTGGAGAAACCTGAAAATTTTGTAGCAAAGGATACATTCTTTCTCAGTGTTTGGAAACTAAAGAACATATTTACAAGTCAATAGTATTTCTGCTCTTTCAATTCCCTTCTTTCTCTAGTACAATAAATTAATTCTTTACCGTAGTACAGTGTCAAGGCCCAGTTTAATGCCTGATCTCATGCTATTGCTAAAATATTTGTGAGAAGTATTTGGAAGCTCAGAATTACTAGGCAAGTATTTATATTATTAAAATAATATTATTACACATTTTATGTTACCATATGACTTACAGTTTTCAGAGCTTGACTATGTGAGCTGTATTTAATAGACTGAGCTATCATCCTTGATTACAAATTCTAAACAGAGGGGAAAGAAACAAGCATAATTCATTTTAGCAAAACTTATCTTGGCCAAAATAACATCAAGTTAAAATGCCTTGGGGGGCCTGCCCCTTAGCTCAGTTCTTTAAGTGGCTGCTTCAACAAAGCAGTCAGGCTCAGGTTGCTGTGGTTCGATCCCCACAACTGCCAGAGTTCACATTTTCATTAAT